CCTGGAGCAAGAGGCGGCTGCATATAACTAAAAGTCGCAAATTTATTGAATTTCATGTTGTCTCTATTTATATATGCGCTTGAAGCACTGTTTGGCAGCCTAGAAAAAGCAGAGTCATTTTTCGGCTTACCAAGCTTAGTTCTAATCACGTCTTCAAACAACAAAAACAGCTCAAATACTGCAGCTATGTAGCAGTGAATCTTATAATAAAACAAAGATATACTGGTAAGAGCAATGTCAAGTAACACTTTCTGTTGTTTGTCCACTACTTTTTTAATTTCAGCCACCCCATTAGATTGTATGAAGTTATCGTCACTCGACACCAACACATTAGAAATTATCTTAGAACACTGTTTTATTTTAAAAACATTCTGAAAATCGAGAGTCAGCGTTTCTGCAACGAGTTCAAAGCTGTCTTGCTCCGACAGCAACAGACAGGAGCTGACTATCTTCACGATAAACTCCAACGTAAAACCGAGTACTATCAAGTAAATTTTCGAGCTGTTTCCATCATTTGCCAGTTCTTTGTGCACTTCAGCATGGTTCTCAGCCAGATAAATAGTAATCTGGCGAAAATTGCTTGTATTCGAGTTTTTTTCAAAGTTTTTTGGAACCAATATGTTTTCGACTGCTTCGAGTTTCTGTATTAAGTCGTCAACTTTGACTGAACAACTGGAAACAGTGTCATTTATAATATATCTTATAAAAGACACATAGTAACGGAAATTTCCAATATCTGTAATTGACATTTAATACATCTTATAAATATTACAAATTTTTTATATTCAAAATTATCTGATGAATTTTTTTATTGTGGGTTGCGTGGAGCCAAAAACTGGTTATCTTTAATTTTTGATACTTTTAAGAATTTAACTGAATAATTTAAATTGTTTTAATGCGTCGAAAAAGCTAATTTTAGCATTTTTACACTTACATATATTAAGATTATGACCGAGGCAATTCGAGATTTAGAAGCAATCACCGCTCTCCCGAAAACGCTATTCAAAACTTTATCTAAAATTTCGAAGAATTTTTCCAGAGCACTCGTTCCAATTCAAACTTCAGCCCACAAATATCTAAAACCTCCTGAAACGATAACATGTGCTCGCACACTCACTTTTGGGCAAGCTGAGTTCATTGTTACAAGCAGCATAACAGACCGGATGTCTAAACGAGCGTTCACACTTCTGACCAATTTTTCTCAAGTTGAACTTTTTATTGAAGGAGATCAATCCAACGAGTATGAAATTCACTGGGTGAAAAAATACCAAGAAACTGCTATTCCCACAAAGAAACATAACAAAGTTTACGATTGCAGTGTTCATGACATTGGATTTGTTCTTTACGTTACGATCGTCGGAAAAAACAATAATAAAGAAGTAGGACACAAAACAATCAATTTTGGAGAAGTTTCCATAGACTACAGACTGGCTTCGCCGATTCGAGACTACATGAACAGTTATGAAACAGAGTTTGTGTTCCGCGACGTAAGCAAACAGTCGATGACCAACGAAGAAGTACGTCTCAAACTTAAAGACAAGGTGTGCATACTGTACGATAAGAACGATCAGTTGATTTTAACTTTTGAAACGGCCAAGTTTGAACTTTTCTTTACACCCACCAGTCACACCACTTTCAAAGTTCAACTGTCTAAAGACGAAACGAAGACCATTCGTGCGAGCTCAGAAAGCCAAGCTCAGCTCATTGTAATGCTTTTCATGATCAATTCAGTTACTGACTTTTACACGAAACACGTCATTATCAACACTGCCAACGTCGTTTACAAGCAATTGGCGTCCTCTAACACTAAAGTCACAACAGTAGAAAATGAAGACATGGAAAAAATAATACGACCTATGTTTCTCGTACAGAACTTGCTTCGCTCAAACTATGATTACGCGTACTGTGTGGAGCAGCTTTCACAGAACAACGAATCCATGAAAGACGCTTACGATTCGCTAAACCAAGAGTTTCTTGATACCATTAAAGAATACAATAACGTCATAAAACACGTTCAAGGTAATATGAGTGAGGTTTCGCCTGCTGACATCGATTTAACTTTGGAAATTCAGAAACTCAAAGGAGAGCTACAAGAAAAACACAAAGAAATTCAACGCTTGTCTGAAGCCGTAAAAATATTTACTGAGTATCAAAACGCTATGGACGATTCAAACAAGCTCGAATTTTAAAGTATTCTTTATTTCTTCTTTTTATCACAGATCATTTTGTTTTCCAAGCGAATTTTATAATTAAAAAACAAGTTAAAACGCAGTTTACCATAAACAAGTACGTTCTCAGTTTGTACTTCAAACCGTTTTTAATACTCTCTTTTTTTTTTCTGACTTCATTTATTCCAGCGTCCAACTTTCTGACTCCCATATCTAAAGTCTGGTTCACGTCGTAGATCCGCTCTTTTTGAAGAGCGAGATTTTTATTTAGGTCAAACAGTGTATCCATAATAGAGAGCAATTTCAATTTTTTTTCTAACGTTTTTTTAGTTTCATCAGAAACTAGCAATTTGACGTTTTCGGGCACTTTCTGCAAGGCTTTCTTCGATGAAGCCAAAATTTCCGAATTGATGATTGTGATTTGTTTTTTGATTTTACTTATCTCAGCTCTGATCGAAGGTGTCACATCGCTTTCACTCAACATTTTTATAGAGAGTTTTTTCATAGTATGAGTCGTTTTATCGAGCACATCTACTATTTGATTAACGTTATTTGTGTACTGCTCATCGAAATCTTGTGCGTCGCCCAGATGTTCGTGATCCGCCCAACAATCAAACTTTTTTTGACAACATTTTAGTTCTTCTAGATAGGCATTTACTTTGTGTATGGCATTGTTACACTTTACGCCAATTTTTGTTTCAGGCTTTTCATTTGTAAATCTTTTATAGTCCATATTATATCAATTAATATAAAAAAACTAAGAAGTTTTATCACGGCAATTGTCAAAAACTGTTATTATTTAATTAAGAATTTTTCGAACATATCTCCAAAGGACTTTATTAAGTCTTGTTCAATCGTTATAATTATTTTTTATTTTGTTATTTTAGATTCATGGTGCATCACAATCAATAATCCCGTGAACTTATAAAATAAAGTTCACGATAGCTCAGCGCAAAGTGTCCATGTGTTAAGCTTTTTAGACTTTTTAAACGTAATTCTAACTACTCTTACTTATCTTTCTAATTCAAAAAAATTTCAAGTCAATCTACGCAAAACAAGATATGACCGTTGATAACAAGTTTGAGCCTTTGGCTAAAAATGAATTCGGATTATTTTCCATACGATCTATCCCCGAAGCTTTGCTGAAAAGCTTTGAAGAAAAAATGTCGAGCGAAACCCAGGCAGAAAACCTGGTTCGTAATAATGAATACCGCTTTTTACCAAGTCAGACCATGTTGAGTAATTCTGTCTGCGAGACTACAGAAATGAAAACGGCCAGAGAGTCTCAATCTCAATGCGAAACTCCTGACGCCAAGCTTCCTGACCTACCATTGACCAATTTAAATATTCCCGTCGATAAAATTTTTAGCAGTTTTAGCTTCTCCCAGGATAAAAACAAATGTTTTTCAGATATGAATTTAAAACCAGAATTCGCAAACTTTAAAAAAACAAAAGTTATCCACAGTAAACGGAGAGGAACTTTTTTTAAAACTAATATCATACAAAAAAGAAAAAATCAAGTTTGTCTTGTTCACCGAGCTACTTTGCTCGAGCTAACAAATAAAAAAAAAATTAATGACACCGTATCGCAATATTTACATCTCCGAGAAAAGATTGCGGATGCTCAGCTCATCTGGATGGATCTCGAGCAAATAACTCAACAACTCGAAGCAAATGAAACTAGTCTCTTTGCATTATTGACCAAAAATCTCTTGGCAAACTATGGAAAAGCCGAAAAAGATTGCATGAATTATTTTCCTTATTTGTCTATAATCGATAAGAACGTGGATGAATTCCACTTCAAACATAACTCTTCCGAAAAGAACAATAGGCCTCAACTGTGCAAAGAATCTAACTTTAATATATACAACTACAACCAACAATTGCAGGACACCAACCTAAACATCCTTGAAAAGTTCACTTCGCTATCAAACGAACAGTACAACATCGACCTGAACTACGAGCTTTTTGAGTCGAACAACAAGTCGGAGAACGAATTAAACAATAAAAACCAAGAACCGGATAATGGCATTTATAATTCTTTTCTTGACGACAAACATGATAGCATACTGGTTGATACTAAGTCTGGTATTCAAACCCCTTTGGCCAAAAAAAAAATTTTTATTTCAAACGATTTTGATGAAGATCTGCCTGTTAGCATTTACAGTCACCTAAATGAAAGTTCGTTTCAATCTCAAACAGATATTATGTTTAGCAATACTTTGATTTTCAACGGCCAAGAAAGAACCAGAAGCTTGAAAAAAATCAACGCGACTGAATCAAATCTTGACTACTGGATGAACCGACTCAACATTGCTGCCGAACCCAAACTTGCAAAAATAAAACAAGATGAATATACAGCGTCAGACCATCGTTCCGACAATGGAAACAGAACTATTGCAGAAGATGCAAACCATTCGCAAAACGTATTTAAAAGTGAAATCCCAAAACCACAAATTCCGGTAACAAGTTCAAAGAGAGTCGATAGAGTAATTCAGCCCGCTTTTTTGAATTCAGAAATATTTTCACAAAACAACTCTGTTGCTCAAGAGTTAGAAAAACTAACTGACAACAAGGACAATTCAGCCCTAGCATCTTTTTCAAATTCTAAAATGACTAGTTATAAAGTTTCGAACTATCTTAACAACGTGGTTAGCCATGTTAAGCAAGTGAACCCCAATTTAGTTCAATTAGCGTCGAGCCCTTTAACAAGCTCTCTTTTAGATTATCAATACAACATTTAAATTTTATTATAAGAACAAGGTCAGTAAGCTCCAAATTAATGTTTATATATTTTTTGACTGATGTAATTTTAATTGTTAACTCTTTTAGTGAGACTAAATACAACCAATTAAATTTAACTATCGCAATAATACTCCGTCTTTTTTTTTGCTATTTTTATATTTTATATTATATATTTATACGATGAAAATAAAGTCTTCTTTTTTACTTTTATAAAGAATGGAAAGAAGTCAAATAAATGCGGCATTAAATATTATTTTCGAAATTCATGCTTTCTCATTTGTCGCATTTTATATTTTCATCACTTTAAAGATCCATAACTGGTCTGATATTCAGAAAATAACAGTTTTTTTGCTTGATGTAGCTCGTAATAAAAAAAATCCTACCGAGTTGGCTAAAGCTCTAAAAGAGTTAATGTTTAGTGAAGATCAAGTAAAGATTGTTTATATCCTCGCTAATTTAATTCAAATCAAAATAGAGACTTTAAGAAAATTTTATAAAAAGTTATCTAGGAATCCTTCTAAATATTTGGTCATTAAAAACGCGTCTCATACGTTACAAAAAAACAATTTTGGTTTCGTAAACCTTAAAAATTTCGATTTAAATTTCGCAAATGAAAAGAATATTGTTATTGAACCGATTAATCGCTACGTACGTAATTCAGAATTTTTTGGCCAGCGCATCAACTATGCCAAAAACCATCTAGATGTATTGGGTATATCTATAGCAGACAAGTTTCACCAAAATCTATGTAAACAACAAGACTTAATCGCTAAAAAATGGATTAAAAATAAAGCTGCGTGGGAGATCGATAATATGGACTACAGGAACGATTTTGTTAAAAGAGGGATTGAGGCAGTTCAAAAAAAAATGGAATCCAGTTTACCGGTTGTGGCTCATTTTAACTCAGTCGTCGAAACTGTGTTAAGGAACCAAGTTACTATCGTTGTGGGAGAAACTGGATCTGGAAAAAGCACGCAATTACCTTATTTGTTGTATAAAAAACTAAAAGAGGTCAAGAATGAAGATGCAAAAATAGCAGTTACTCAGCCACGACGAATCGCAGCAATATCTCTAGCCTCATATGTTAAAAGTATTTTGGCCGAAAAGAATGAGCAGAATTTGGTAGACTACGCCGTTAGATTTGATAACAAGTCCACAAAGTTTACCCGGATTAAATATATGACAGACGGGTTGTTACTGAGAGAAATAATACTGGACACGAAGTTGTCGAATTACTCTGTTATCATAATTGATGAAGTACACGAAAGAAGCGTTACTATCGACTTGTTAGTTGCCATTTACAAGTTGAACTTTTTTAAAAAGTCAAATCTAAAATTAGTAATTATGTCTGCCACCATGGAGGCGCAGCTGTTTTCAAAATTTTTCGATTATGCTGTCGTAATAAACATTCCCGGAAGAATTTACAATGTGAAAGTAAACTACCTTAACACTGTTTCTGAAGAATACATCAGTAATGGACTGAATATCATCGTTGATATTTGTTTATCTGACGATAGTGGGGATGTACTTTTTTTTCTTCCTGGAAAGGAAGAAATATTAGTCGCGTGCGCACTACTTAAAAAAATGTATAACGATAAAATAAAAGTCATTGGAAAAGACCGATCAGACGTTAAGGGATTAATAATTTTGCCGTTATATTCGAATTTATCCAAAAGTGAACAAGAACTCGTATTTGTAGAAACACCTCCAAATAGTCGAAAAGTAGTGCTATCAACAAATATCGCCGAAACATCGGTAACTATTCCCAATATCGTATTTGTTGTGGACTCGGGGGTCGAGCGAAAAAACGTGTACTGTCCTATGATTCAGGGAACGTCGCTGATCACAGTCCAAATTGCGAAGTCAAGTGCCAACCAGCGAAAAGGTCGAGCTGGACGAGTCAAAGACGGTGTTTGCTATCGGTTATATTCACAAGAGTTTTACGAACACAATATGGAAGAGTTTCCCACGCCTGAAATTTGCCGCGTAGAAACTGACGAAATCGTTCTAATCCTCAAAAAACTTGGCGTAGTAAGCGTGTTTGAAATGGAGTTTGTAAATAAGCCACACGAAGAATTTTTTCTCGCTAGCTTAAACAATTTGTGGAAGTATAAGTGTTTAGACGATGATGGTTTGCTTACAGTCCTTGGTGAACTTGTGTTGGAATTTCCACTTCCAGTTGACATGGCTCTCTTGTGTTTAAAAGCTGCTGAAAAAGGTTGTTTGAATCCTATCTTGAAAATTGTGTCCATGATCCAAGTACAAAACGTGAGATATTTCAAAAAAAAAGACAATCTAAATGGGTTTGACGAAAACAAATTTATCGATATATTGGACAGCGATCATTTGAGTCTTCTTAATTTTTTTGAACATTTCGTCAACGCGGAAAACAAGGCATCCTGGTGTTCTTCAAATAATGCGAATTACGAAAACCTTTCAAACGCAGTATTGATTTACAAACAACTCGTACTAGTTTGCGAAAGCTTGAATCTCGAATTGTCAAATGATTTGTCAAAGGAGAAATTGATTTCCGTCTTGTGTCTATCTTTTTTCTCAAGACTCGCCCGTAGATACGATCTTAATTCAGCTTACAGATCTGTCATGCACCAGATTAAGGCAAATATACATTACAACTCGATTCTGAGTGGGGAACAGCCTGAATTCATTATTTTCACTTCTGTCATCAATAACAACGGGCGAACATATTTCGACTGCTGCACTAAAATCACAATTCAGCAAATATTGACATATCTTAACGACTACTACGACATTAAGAGTATTGATACACAAATTAAATTATAAATCCGTAAAACAAATCAGATCTCATAATCCTATTAAATAATCAAAAGTTTGGAGAACAAATAATATTCATACAATTATGTTATCATCATTTTAAAAAATTTGGTTATCAGACAGCCAAGAGAACATTGAGTCATCAGAGCATATTCAGAGACTCTAGTCTGTAAAGATGTTGGTGTCATCATTTATTAATTGTAAAATCAGCTAGGGGTGAAAGACAATTTTGAATACACTTATGATAAGCGATCAAAGTACGTTCTGCATCATTTTACGTGTTACAGTTTATCAGAGAGGAGTCATTCCATCAATCTTATTCAGACTGGGGCGACAATCAATCATCATGTGCGACTTGCCACTTGTTAGTTTCACAAAAATAAAAAAAAAAGAAAGAATTGAAAAAGACAAAACATCGGCTATACTATATTTTAATACTAATTATGTCATTATTTTGCCCAAGCTGCCATAATTTTTTATTACTAAGTGAAAGTTCGGCAAACAAAGCATTTAGTTGTAGATCTTGCCCTTACACTTTTTTAATTACTAACTCAGTATCTCATAAGTTTGAATTTCCTCAGTTAGAGATTACTGACATAAAGAGACTTGAAAAAGAACAAAGCAAACTCGATAAGATTATCGCTACATGTAGAGAATGTGGCAATAACGAGTGTTACAGTTGGAATTTGAAGTTGAGTGATAGTGACACGCAGGAAACTTGTTTCTTTCGTTGTATTAACTGTTACGCGTTTTGGAAAAATAGTTAAAAACCGTAGTCTATAATTAATTCTTAGTGAGCTTGCATATTTTTAGTTTTTTCTGATGTTTCTAAAGTTAGTTTCTTCTGCAGATCCGAGAAAAGAAATCATTGTGTTTCAAAGCAAAGTTCAAGAATGTAAGTCGCCAATAAAAAAATTTGATCCAACTGTCTTTACTAAAGTAATTAACATTGGAAGTTTATCCAATGACTCTGGTTATTACTTAGTGTTTTTAAAAGACATATCTGCTTCGACTCTCGAAGCATTTCACCAGACGTTGTTTCCAACTAACGTGGACAAGAGATATTTTGAATCTATCAGCAAAGGTCTGATAAAAGGTGTTGGGATCATCTATGTGCCTCCAGTAGATCAACAAAATATGTTTAAGTTTAATTTCTCAATCTCATCTTTGTTCAATAAGCTATTATTTTGGAAACAGGTACCCTATGAAGACTGTAACGGAATTGTCACCTCATTAGTTACCTACAGGTCATCGAATTTCGTGATCGACAATAAAACAATGATTGAACTTTTGCAGTTTTTAGCGTTGCATTTAAGCACTTTTTTCAACAGTCGTGACAGCTTGAACGCTATCAGGTTGTATGAATTTCATAATTTTTTGTTAAACATCAGTGGTCACAACAGTTACAAGTTTGTAGATTTTGTTTCAATGAAATTCCAGACCGATAAATTGTCGCTAGGATCTATTCACGTGTTAGACCTGGGTGTTCGAATGGAGTTTAGGAATTTGGGGATTGCAACTTATTTGCTTAAGTATTGCTTTTATAAATGTAAAACGCTCTCTAGATACTTTATTTATCTTTGTGTAGCTTGCTACGACCACGCAGCCATAAAGTTGTACGAAAAAGCTGGTTTTGTCAAAGTTATTGAACTAGATGATTACTACATTATTAGAAACCAAAAATATTCTGCTTACTTATATATTAAAATCGTGAATCCTAGTGGCTTGATTGAACGGTTGGCACAGATATACAGTGATTTGTATTTATTATACAAAAGCTTCAACAAATATTAAACCTAGACATTGCGTGCATTGGTTAACTATTAATTTGCGTTTAAGGTCAACAAGTTCAGCTTTAAATGAATCTTTTCTAACATTCTTTCCAACGATGCTGAATTCAAACGTTTTGCACTTAAGACTTCAGACTGCACTTCAGTCAGTAACTGCATTAGATGGGCTAACTTGCTAAGTTGATCTGGATCGTATCGATACTTAGTGTTTTTATAGTTATTTATAGTTAGGTTATTTAACGAGTTAAACTCGTCATTAAATTTGCTAAATAGAGTATTTAGTTTTTGCGTTAAGTGATTAACTGTGTAATCTTTTACAATCTGTTTTGCTACATCATTTTTGTCGTAATTCTGAACAAATTCAAGGAAGTCTATGTTTTGTTTTACCTCTTCTAAGATAGCCACAACACTTCTTAAATTTGCTGAAAGAACATTAGGCTCCATGAAAGTTGTACCAGTGTCTGTGGACCTATGTCAGCTTTTTCTCTGCTGAATTTAATATTAACGCAACCCAGCCTTTAAGAATTATTTAGTATGTGGTTCAAATTAATATTTATTTTATTTTTTCCTGATGAATTTTCAGAACTCTCATCGGTTCCTAATATCGCTTGAGCATTTTCTTTACTTTTTTTTTTTGTTTTAAATTTATTTTCGTCATTTTTTGCATTGTTTGTGCTACTGCAGCAGACGTCGCAAAAGTTATTACAGTCGACGCTAGTCAAGTTTTTAAAGTTTTTCACGTCTTTGTTTTGCTTATGCTTTAAACATTGTGCCAGACAGATGTTTCTTTTAGTAACATTGTTAAATCCGTTAAATCTAATGCTCACGTTCTTTTTGTGTTTTGATGGTTTTTGTGCAAGGTATTCTATGCCTAACTTTTGTAACTCTTTATATTCCGTCGAATCAAGTTGATCATCGTCCAAGTCGAATTCATCTGTATCTATCAATACATCTGGATTTATAGATTGATTTTTTATCAATTTCATCGCAGCTGCTTTTGTTTGCACTATACTTGGCCGATTCGTAAGATTCAAACTTATTCTTCGAACGTGCTTGTCAGTCGCGGCATCTATATCTAGTTCGGTGTCCTCATCAGAATCATTGTCACGTGAACAAAATAATCGGCAAACTAAGTTGTCTGATCGTAAGTCAGTCAGACAGTTTTTAAAATTTTCATACGTAGTGAATTCTGAGGTCTTCTTCACAATATTGGATAATGTTGAAGCTTGGTCGTTTGAGTTTTTATTTTCCTTGATCGAAGTTGTTTTCTTTTCGTCTGTATTAATATTCTCACTTTGGTGTTTATCACTGTTTTCGGTTTTAGTTTTACTCTCTTCTTTGTCTTCTTCAGTTTCATCGTCATCATTGTCTTCACCATCGTCATGTTCGTCTTTTTTACTGGCTGTTTCTTTGGTTTTTGCATCAGATTTATTTTGGTTTTCTTTTTCGTTTAAGTTAGTTTCCGCTGAACTGTTGTCAGAGATGTTTTTATTATCAGACGAAGAAGCTAAAGTTTGATCGAGTTGCAGTTTTGTAGTTTGCCACTTGTCAGCTATATTGTTGACAAGTTGGTTTGGCAAACCTAAATTATTACTTGAATCGATTGATTCTGCACTCTGATTGATAAATTCAAGGTTGTTCGAATTGGGACGCAAATTGCCATTGCTAACAGCAGCTGAAACTAGAAAAAACGGATTCATAATTAAGAGTTTCAGCATAAAAAATAACTCGGGACGTTGTAATTTACGAATGGGTAGACGGTTCAGCGTTTGCAAATTTATTAAATTAGTACGAATCAATTTAGTTGCAATAGTTGTAAGAGATGACCTAGTAAGACGTAAATCAACGCAATTGCGAGACAAAAGACCTACAAAAGAATTCAAAACTGAAAACAAACGAGTTAAAACATGTAATATCATGCTCGTTAACTTTTTTGATGTAACAAAAAAACTAAAATGGATCAATCTATATATGCAAACATAATTACTAGTTCTTTTTAAATAAACTTTATAAAGTTTATTTAGTCATTAATAATAAAATGAATAAATCCCAGTTAGAAAGGTACAATTACTACCATAATACGTTGAGTCCAAATTGGTCCTGCATTTCGTTAAAGATCCAATTTTTTATGCATACTTTGATTTGTCAGATCTATGTTTGAAAGTAATAAATTAATCCGAGCATGATTTTAAAATTTTTTTAATAGTTTAAACGGTCATTCATGATTTTCGTTTATGCGATTGAGCATAGAACTGTCAATTGAGTAAAACTTTTTTGTTTTTGTTTTTAAGCCGAGTAAAAATTAAAGATATTGTTAGTATGGGTTAGAACAAAATGTATTTCCGTTTTATGTCGTATTAATAATGATAAGACCCATTTATAAAGTATATCTAGTCGACACACCATGTGTGTTAATGAATATTTTTTTGACGCGAAAATCTATTCATA